CGTACTTCGTTCGGTGCGGCTCACGGCCTTGCTACCTTTCCTCCTGCGCCTCTCTCCAGCCCCCAATGCTCCTCCTCGCACCGTTCTGCCCTGTCGCATCCATCTCTCCTAAGTGTCCTTCTCCAACAAGCTCGTACACTTCGCCTACATCCAGTTCTTGTGGCGGTTGTGTGGCATCGGCCTCCAGTATTTGCGTTCCGAGCTTCTCTGTCGGATTCTCTGGGCTGCCGTACTCCGTATACGGCCCCACCCCGCCGGATCCTTGGAGGCTATTCCCGGGAGACGTGTGTCCGTTAGCAGCCTCGATTTCCTTCAGGCGCGCTTCTTCCAAGGCCCTTTGCTGCCGTCTTTTCCGCACACAAAACAGAGCCACCACTGCCGCAAAGCCAATAACTCCCACAGTGACTCCAACTCCGATGCCAGCTTTAGCTCCAGTGGACAAGACTGCCGGCTTGGCGGATGCGCTCGATGCTGTTGACGTCCCGTTCGGATCATTCTCGGCCGTCTTCGTCGCGTTGAAGCTGGGAACTACGCTGGCTTTTGTCCAGAGGCCGTCAGTGCCGTGGTAAAGCTGTGCCCAGCTGCCGTTTGAGCGGTACCAAAGCCATACTTCATTCGTGTCGAAGTTGTTCGTCGCTGTCAACGCGCCTCCGGCCTCGTCAGCCACGGGCCAAAGCCGTTCATCTTGCTCTGACATCATCGTCCATGCCCCGTTCACGTTTGAAATTTGATGAAGTTTGGAATCGGTTCCGAGGTAAAATAAACTCGTCACGTACGATCCGTCGACGGAGGCGACCAAATGCGTCAAGTTTGTCGGCCAGGCCGTCAACGTGAGATTGGGCGTGAGAGACGAGTTGACGACGATGTCGGCTGCGTCGGTGTTATTCGTCAGCGTGTCGTTGGTGAGAGTCCGAGGCAACGTGGCTTTGGGCATGTTAGCACTTCGCTGCGAACAGAACGGGTACGATAAGACGGACCGAGATGCCAGGTTTCATCTTTGAAGTATCTCGAGATTTCGAGGGTCTCAGCGTCTTTGGGAAAGACGACAGACATGTTCAGCTGGCCCGAGTGCGTTGAGGTCAGCACCGTCGAATTCGCTTGGTCTTGGGAAATCCGGCCCTTCCACCGCCAGTCGTCCCTGGTCGTGTACGCCATGACATTAACCCTTCTGTCCTCATCATGGAAGAATACGCGATATCCGTTTTCCGATCCCAGCAGCTCGACCGCGAGACCTGTCTCGTCATGGATGGATTTCACATTCGCCGTAGACGAGATGGTGTATTCTCCCTTCTTGTCGTAGAGGCCTGTCGACATGTCGCACTCAAAGTAACCGTTGACGATCGACCCGTCCTCTGTCTGGTAGAAAATCGATGCCTGTTGCGACGCGTCAGTAAGTAGCAGCCTATGGTCAGACGACGCCGCTCAAACAAACCATCGTCAGCAACTGTGCCGTATCATACCATCCCGCTCCCGCGAGGGCTGAACCGTTGCGAGGAGTTTTCTGCAAGTCGAACGCATTCTTTCCGTCTGTGGGGAATATGGGTGTGGAGTTGCTATTGCACGCGCTATGGAGGATTTTGAGCGTTGTAGGATCTTGCATCGCAATCTGAGGGCTCAGCTCCGTCCACCACGACATGAGACACGTTGCCGGAGAGAAAAGCATCGCCCCCAGGACGATCTTCAAGACCGGCCGCGCCATGCCGGCGGTGGTTAATACGCGGCGGGAACGACAGAACACCCCGCAGCCGGGCGATGCTTGATTCACAGTCGAGATCGCGTGGCAGTCTGCTGCGGAGTACTCGGAGATTCCATTCAGTCAGACCTAGTAGTTGACCGACGTTCAACGAAGACGAAGAGAACGGAAGATGAAGGACGAGATCGCGATCCGGGGGGGGAGACCGGGTTTATCAATCTCCCTACAGGGATATTGGACTGACGGTATTCAAGGGTCTAGACACCGAATGCTCATCTCCATACCCTCCGAGACCCAAGGCGGAAAGCTCACCCGCCTGCTCGACCTGCAGCAGCACTACTGCGGGCTAGCCCTAGGCTGTGGCCCAGAAGGCGAAGCATTCGCTCGCCCGCACCTAACGAGCATCCTTGCAACTGACTTAACCTCTTCGACGTCCCGTCTTTATCATTCCCAGCTGGCGAACATTGAATTGATAGCCCCCAAATGTAAGCGTAAGACGACCATCGAGTGTCTGCCCGTTGCAACCCCCGGCGCGCCTGCGCTCAGCTCGTTGGACCAGCAAATGGTGGCAATCAGGGGGTCTTGAAGGCAAGGCTCGGCATTGGCTGCGATTAATCACGGTGGTGCAGTAGCGAAGTAGCTGATGTAACCAGCTTTGGGGGGGCTGTTTGATTACTCAAGTCAGGGCTGGAAGGATTCGTATGGGCAAAAACCTGCGAAGCCTGGGTGGTTTATCCACATCCGATTTGTGGCTGTGGTAAGTCACGGTCTTTTTGTAATAAGAGATCTGGACAAGATCTTCATCAATCTCGGTCCCGAGGTTTTTGATATCTCCGGCACTCGAGAGGAAAGGATCAACTGGCTCTTCGCCAACATCCCTGTCAGAAGCGGGGGCTAAGCTCAGTAAGCAACCATGAACCAACCCACTGACAGATGGTTTGCCGGTCGAGATTTTTGCGGGTTACGGTTGCAACGCAGTGCATCAGCAGACCTCGACGGGGACGAATGCAGTGAAAAGAAGCGAGATAGAGCCCATTCTAGGCCCTCCCGCCCGCCGCTCCCTGGCTCTCGTATCCCATGTTCCGTCGACGTTGCTCCATTATTGATCGCGAGAGGTTGGGGGAGATTGGAGATTTAAATGCAACTCCGGCTCGGACTTTTGTCATCTTTTAGTACCCACGAGTGTGTCGTGAAGACAAGCATTCTGGGCGAGATGCTGTTCGGTTGGCGATGGCCCGACAGCCCGGTAAATGAATGGCACTGCTGCTGCGCTTTCATGGGATTTGATGTAATCACTGGAGCATCAGGAAACCTGATTCTGCAACAATTCTGGCATGGATGGGGGTACACCGTTTTTGAAGATTTCAGAGGAAAGGCGCTTGCTTTCCTGGATCAAGCCCCAAACTCCCGCATACCGTTCGTTGGCCCTTTTACGCCTCTCCTTGCCACGATGACAGAAGAAAGAAATATCATTCACCCTCCAAGACAAACTGTTGAAACCGACGACGAGTTGGTCAAACTCATCGAGAAAGCCCACACAATCGCCCCCGTCGTCGGCGAGAGACTGGACGCGCATCTCGTCTGGAAGAAACGGGCCACCTTGTGGTTCGGGGGTTTCTTTGCGAAAGGCGGGAAAAGAGGAACAAGTGAATGATCGCACTGGCGGTTTCGCAAGTTGTATACATATCCTGAAAAGGATAGCTGGAAAGTTCACACCGTTGGTCGCAAGCGCCCTCTACATTTTTCAAATACGAGGACTTGAAATATAAACGAACACAGCCAGTCTTCATCAACATTAGAAATTTGCTTCGGGTGGGTACTTTGTCGAGTGTCTAGAACTTGGAGCTCTTACAGCTTCTCAACCATGGCATCGACTTTTTCGTTCTGTTTACTTTCCTCCGATCAAGTAGTATACGACTCGGTGGAAAAGGAAAGGAAAGATGTTCCCGCTTTGGTATATGAGAAGTCAACATTGGAAGTGCGGGCGTATCGTGTCATGAAGAAAGGGTAGAAGCCACGGACAGCTCATATTCGGCACCTGTACAACACCATAGCAAAGATGCGCCAAACCCCCCTTCAAAAACGACGAGACAAAAGTCACAGTAGTTATGGAAGCCAATACCAGCGCAGCGTCGCAAACAAGCATCATGGGCTCCCTGTCCCATCACTCCAAGAGAGAGAAGCCCGGTCTGAAGCTGATTCGAGAACTGTAGGTGCTGTAATAGGCTGCTTAGCAAGCGTACCTCGACGAGTAAAGTAGGCCAAGAGCAAACACCGAATTGCCACACCACGGCTTCCAGTGTAGCAGTCCGATCAATTCGGGATTTCAGTCGGGTGAGTGGATGGATAACCCTGTTTTATGAAAATGGGGGCTTCAAGGAGCAAGTTCCAGACCGGCCGGTCAATTGGACGGAAGCCCAACCTCAAAGGGGAAGGACGCAGCAACATCCTGGTGCTTGCTTACTACAGTCCGAAGTTCAGCTCTTTGTAAGGCTAGGATAAGTGCTAAGCTTATGGCGTGTAGCTTAGCATGCATGTCTAAAGCGACGTCGTGGTTCATCCGAGTCGGAGTCTAATGGTAATGCATTTCGCAGGTCCCCCTTACTAGTCATCCCGACAATTCTCGCTGTTCAAGCTCGTTTCTGGTGCAGAGCCTGAGCTGTGGCTGCTTTGGCCGGAGGAGAGGTGATGGAAGGTGAGCTGGGTGAGCCACATGCTTGGCATGATTCCAATTCCAGAATTCCTGCTCATGCCGCTTTATACAGAGGCTGACGCAGATAGAAGCACTGTCCTAGCCTACCATGCTCCTACATGCTGGCCTTAGATATGTTGCATTGCTTGCCACCAGTGCTTTGTCCTACTTCCTAGGCTGGTGGCTTTAACGACGAACGTACTACGCGGCCATATGGGAGAGAGTACCTTTTCCGGTTTCACAGCTATTGATTATCTTGAGGTTTAAGGTAGTCTTTCCCGAAAATCGGACAATGTATTTATGCAACCCTGGTATCTGCCTACCTAGAAGGGCAATGGGTTGAGTCTCTTGGGTACTCCAACCACTTCACACATAGACTTATCGGCCTCACGACATGGCGTCGTCGTTCGGCCCGCCTGCTCTCGAACTTATTACTTTACCATCATGAAGAAACGTCGCCTGAACATGTAGGGCAGTCCTAGCCCGGTTCTCTCCTGCTGTGTGTCTTCCCTCCTGAGGAACCCCCTAACTCAAAGCGGCATACCTGGCCGCGACGTAACCACAGTGTATTGCCCTGGTCGGCGTTCTTCACCTGGGTTGAGGCTGTATAGTCTGTCAAGTTGGAGCCACGAAAACTGGTGAATCAGTCCGTTTCCTCTTCATCGGCTGCTTGGCTGTCTTGAAAACATTAAGGGACTTCTTTCCTTGACTCATTTTACTCTCTTCTTTCGAGCCGCGACTGGCTGGCAGTTGAAAACCAACAGTACGGCCGGGTTCGAAAGACGTGGAGGCAGACTCGGGCGCGGCAGCCGTGGCAGTAACCTTAGTTTGTGCTTGCGCCCTTGCGATCTGTGCTTGGATCAAGTCTTCCTCCCTCATCTGATCGGCTGCCTCGGCCTGGTCTCTCTTCCTCGAGTCCGCTGCTCGGCGAAGGGCTTCCGGCGAACGGTCGATCCAGGCGATGAACAGACCATCGTCCTTCTCCTCGACGCGACAGAGCCCTTCGCGGCCGAGAAACTTGACGAAGTCGGTGAGCGAATGCCAACGCGTTGCGTTAAGATGAGTGTGATGCTTGTTGGCGATGTAGGTCTGGTAAAAGCGGTTCGAATGCACGCTTTTCTCTCGGTGGCTTGTCCGCAACTGGTCGAGGAACTCGGCCTGGAACTGTTGCGAGATGTTGTTGATGGTCTCGTTCACGTTGCCGATGTTCTGTATTCGACGCACAAGGGACTCGGAGAGAGTGTGCTGTTTGAAAGCATTCTAGTTCCGACACTGTTTGTCGCAGGGTGTACAGTACCATCGCAGGCGGCCAAGGCCCACCATCTTCATTTTCTTATCCACATGGCGCGCGGAGCCTGGGTCGTGTGGCATTTTGGCTGTAGGTCAAGTGAGGCTGCGACCAGCACTTGGCTGACATGTATTGAGGGAACGTTGATAGGGGCGTGATAGGTTAGGTAGTGAATCAGGAGCTCATCTAGAGACCGGTCGGAATGACGACCTACCACAAAGCACCGATTGGCTCGCTTAACAAGCCAATAGGAGACCAGGGATCGAACTGAGGCCGTTGCGGTGGAACTCGACTCCTTCAACCTACCTTGCGAATACCAGAGAAAACGAGAGGGCTGAGCATGTCGAAAGAATGCACTTTTGAAAGCTCATGCATGTTTAAGGCAATGTCGCGGGTCATCCGGGCTGGAGTCTAATAGAAATGCATTTCATAAGTTTCCCTAGGTAATCAAAGACCGAACCCCGACACGCCCGTTAAAACAACACCTGTTGCTCCCCATGTTTTTCCTGCATTAACACCCCGCTTTCTCTACTCTATCATGTCGTACTGCTCATCACTCGAGGCCTCTCTTGACGTCCTTGGCCTTGAGGCCACTGAGTTTCCTCTCGGGCTTGTGGTGAGAGGGTCTGCCGGAGAGCATGTTAACCACCTCCATCATGTGCGCCCAGTGAGCGTCCTTGGGACGGCGGTTCTTCCAATCCGTGTCGTGGTCCTCGAGATCGAGGACCGGGGTGAAGATAACGCTGGCACCCTTGATTCCAATGACAGAGGCGCTCATGGGATCCCTCTTGCACCTGTTATGAGACTTGGGCCGGAACTCCTCGAGATGCTGCATGCACTTGATGGCCAATCTGACGGCGCGGCATCTGTCCATCGGCGACGGGACTCCTCCCTGCTGGACGTGTCCGGGGATGCTGTCGCGGGACTCAAATCTTCCGCGCGCTTCCTTGCGGATGATGTCGGCGATGAGCTTGGCGTTGAAGACATCGTCGGCCTTCTCGTTGATAAGGATAAGGCGACCGGACGATGATTGGCCCTTGTCCTTTGCAAAGACATCGCGGAGGTGACGGACGTCCGCAGCCAGCATTTCAAGGTCCATACCCTCCTCTGGCGTGTAGACAGCACTTGCGCCGACACTAAGGCCAGCAAGTGTAGCAATGTACCCAGACTTACCGCCCTGGGTCTCGACAACGAAGACACGGCGGCGAGTTGCCGACGCCGACTGCTTGATCTTGTCGCAGTACTGGACCAGCTCGTTCAAGCAAGTGTCGGAGCCAAGAGAGTATTCGGAGCCGGGCACATTGTTGGAGATGGTGGCAGGCAGGAGCACCATTGGAATGCACAGGGAGGGGTACAACTCCCTGGCCTTCCGCAGCTGTGACACGGCGTGGTAGGCCTCGAAGCCACCAACCAGGAAAAGAGCGTCAAACTCGTACTTCTCAATGAGGTTGGCGATGAGCTCCATGCCGGACTCGGACGGAAGCTCTCTGTTGGTTCCAATCTCAGATCCTCCCCTGCTAGCCCAGCTGTCAACATCAAGCCAATCGAAGGGCCGCACGGCACCAACGGGCTTGTCCCCGTGATGTCTTGCAAAACCAGCAAAACCGTTGTGAATAGCCACAGGCTCGTGGCCGCGGGAAAGGCAGTACGCGACACCAGCGCGAACAGCGGCGTTCATACCACCAGCTGGCGCGCCAACGTTGATGAATCCAATCTTCATTCTCTGCTCCATTGTCAGCGTAGCCTCATTGTTTTGGGATGGTTAATACGGACCTCCTTCTCAGGAAGATGGTGGTCGTCTACTCTGACGTTCGTCGTCAAATTGTATGAGTTGAACATCTCGGAAAACTCGGCATCTCGAAGAGACATGGCCTTGTCAAAGTCCTTCTCCTCAACGGCCTGCGCGACCGTCTTGGTGTCCTGAACGGCTTGCATGAGAGGCCTGCGAACGATCTGGTTCTCGGTAATGGCGATGAAGCAAGTCTCGGTCTCGGGGGTGGCTTCCAGAACAGCCTTGACGGCCTCGACACCCTGCAGCGTCGCCAGCATTCTGTCGTAAGCAACGGCGGTACCTCCACGCTGGACATGACCAAGGGTTGTGACACGAGTATCCAGAGCTAGCCCGTCCTTGTCCGCGAGCAAATCCTTGACCATCTCTGCCGTGATCTTCTTGCCATTGCTGTCCTTGGCGCCCTCAGCGATGATGACGATGGTCTTGCGCTTGCCGAAGCTTCGGTGCTGGGTTGTGTTAGCTTGTTCAGCAGTACCGGCCTCTGGACATGCTCACCCTCTTCACGATTTCGCACATCTCTTCCTCCCAGTTCTCCTCCCTAGGCTTTTCAGGGATGAAGATAAAGTCAGCACCCGTAGCAACACCGGCCATGAGTGCCAGCCAACCACAATGGCGGCCCATGACTTCGATAACGAAAGCTCGGGAGTGGGAAGAGGCCGTGGCCTCGATGTAGTCGACCATCTCGCAGATGCGCTCGAGGGCCGAGTAGCAGCCGATGGTGGCATCGGTGCCTGACATGTCGTTGTCAATGGACCCGACCAGACCAACAATGTTGAGGTTCTTGTAAGGCTCGACCTGCTCCTTCTTAAGCTGGCCGGACGAGATAAGCTCCTCAACCAGGGAGGGCCATTCGGCACGGAACTTGTCAGCACCAGTCAAGGAGCCGTCACCACCGCAGATGATCAGGGCATCGATTCCGTTGAGGATCATGTTCTTCGCGGCAGTCAATCGTCCGGGACGCTCGTAGAAGGCCATGCAGCGGCGAGTTCCAATCAAGGTACCGCCCTGTCCAAGGTAATTGCGCACATCTCCCCAAGCAGCCTTGCGGATCTGGTCGCCGCCCTGGACCAGGCCCTCATATCCATCGTAGACGCAGTAGGGATCGCAGCCCATGTGGATTGCTGTTCGGACAACGGCTCTGACTACGCCGTTCATGCCCGGGGAGTCACCTCCCGAGGTCATGATGGCGATCTTCTTCTTGGCGGCCATGGTTTTGGACGTCGAGGACGGAGTGTTTCGTAGGTTTTCGGGACTCCGGAGTCAACTAGGGAAAGGGGGAGGGAGACCCTTCAGAGAAAGGCAGTCAGTCGACGTCGGCTTAGAGGATATTTGTACGGGTATGGTGGTATAATATGTCCAAGGGATGGTGGTGCAAGTTGGCTGGCCGTGCGCAAAACTAGGGGAACGCAGGCAGAGGTAGGGAGGGGGACGGAGTGTTCAACGATCATGAACTGACTTGCGAGCAGGCGAGAGGTATGGAAAGGTGCCTTGGGTAGGTGCCAAGAGCTTGGAAGCTGCGAGGTGGTTGGAAGCTATGCGGGAGATATGTACCTTTTTTCTTTGGTTGAGGGGCTTGGGCTTGCACCTGGAACTGGAACTCTCGGAGCAGGGCGAAGGGAAGCTGCGAGACACACTTGGCTCGGCTTGGGGTTCAGGTTGTTTTTGGCTCGGGAGGGCGCGCAGAAATAACGACCGGTCGAAGCCAAAACCACAAAACACAAGTCGGTTCCCAGGGCAAGATAATAATAGCGCGCGCGCCCTTGGATGTTTTATGGCGGGGAATGATGGACACCAAACGGTTGGAGCATGCAGAGAGCAGAGCAGCTTGAGTCGCAACGTGGGCTGGCACCTCGAAAAAATAGCATACAACAAAGCAGAGGAAAAAAAAAACACAACCTGACAGCCCCTCCCCGATGCACCACCGCAACGGCGCAAGCACCAGGCGCCGCACCTCAACCCCTCCCAACAGATGCCACACCTACCTGGGAAGACACCCGCTAAGCCAGCATCAGGGCAGTGACGTTGTGGGCTGAGAGCTCTTATCGCTTATCGTGGCGCGGGGGAGCTCCGGCCAAGCCCAGCAAAGACGCCGCCGAGGCCGCAGAGACCGCAGAGCGTCGTCACATTTGCAGGGCCCGGCGTCACAACCGGCCTATGGAAACCTTTTGCGTCGCTGAATCAGGCACGGGAGGCCGTGTTACTGGTCAGCCCGCCGACAGGGGATTATCTTTAGCTGAGCCCTTCGTTGCAGAAGGATCCTCGCTGACGTTCTGTGTCTTGAAAGCAGGCCGGCCTGCTGTCTGTCCTAGAAAAGAAATGGAAATCTGCAGCGACTGAGGTGCTGGCTGTTAATCGCTCAATGATTGACTGAGGGCGAATGAATCCATCACATGAATAGCTGTGTCAACCGATTTCGAGTCACACTCATTGGTGAGGGAAATACTGCAACTGGCTGGCAATGCTCTTTTTTCTCGCTCTTTTTTTACTGAGTGAGGGGTTTTAACGCCAAACAAGGTTCCTTCGGCTTGCTCCCATCTCGGGCTTATTCTGGGCTGCTTCCACCCTTATCCACCACTATTACCAGGTCCAGACTTGTCGCCAGCGTCGACTCAGACTGCCCCTCCATCCAGCTCCAGTCCAGTGCGGGGCTCGCCGAACGCGCCAGCAGTCCAGGGTCAAGCGCAGTCGGTCATTGCTGCCGCTGAATCCAGTGATTTTGCTGAGCGCGGCTCCGCGACTGTGGGGGGGTCATCCAGGTCTTATTGACAGATTCTCTGACCCTAAACCCTTCTTCATCAGAACAAGTCAACACCATTCCAGAGTCTCTTAATCTACATTATTACGCAACCTCATGTCGCGAATTGCATGTCATTCTTGATCAGATAAATGGCGTCGGCAGCCGTCCAAGTATGCATTCAAGACGTCTGGCTAGAGATGCCAGCCCAAACAGCGGAGGACCAGGCGCTGGCAGGGATGCAGGGATAAGCCTCCGAAGTGAAAGCGAACACTCAGAATCCGCAACGACGGCATCGAGTGACAAGTCATTCGACCTCAGTCTTCAATTGCCCATGTGCAACCACAAGTCATGATATTCAGTATTCAATCATCTCGCAGTTTGATGCCTTCCCACAATGCCGCCGAGTGCCAGCTTTCACCTCTGCTTCACGCCATAGCCCACCAACGCGGATCTCGCGGCGAGGCATTCTAGCCTGAATCTCTATGTCATCCAGCCTGCTTGCTTAGTTGATACGAGAACCTCGTCGACGGGATGAAAGCCTTGATGATATCGCCAGTGACGTTTGATTTGGTCTTATCGATACCTGTTTCGGTGAGGCACAGGTGTGAAAGCGCGCCTGACCGAGAACCTGCCCGATTGATTGGCCAGAAGCTCTGTGGAGCTACGGCCATCACGGTCACCCCAGCCAATCCGTAGCGACTTCCAACGGCCAACTCCAGCCTTGCAACACAGCCTCACCAATACCAGCAACCTTGATGCAACATGCTAGCACGCAAAACCTAACCTGACTCCTCCGTACACGATATACCGAGCCGACCGTCTTCGATCAATCAACCGAGAAACTGCCCACCATGGCGTCGGGCAGCTCAATGCCCTTCTCCTCCCTGCAACCAACCCCGACAGGCGGTCGCAAGCCTAAGAACCTTGCCGAATTCATCGCGCGCGTACAATCAGAGCGCGGCTTTCGCAACGTCACGGAAGAAAGCCTGAAGCAAGAAATTGACGACCGCAAGAATGGTGTCGCCGACGTTAAGGAGGAGGAGGACACTGCCATGGCGGACAGTAACGAGGACGAGGAGGAGCCAGCCGACGCCAACGCCGCGCGCAATGAAGTGCTGAGAAATATAGAGTGCGTCGGTCTACTCTTTTGCCTGGAAGATTTTGTGCTGACAACCGTTTTACAGTGCCGCCAACAACTCCGCGCTCATGGCACTCGATTTCATCTCATTACTTCTCTCGAAAGAGAGCCCTGCCCAAGCCGGTACTACCCTTTCAGCCCAGCTGCGAGACTGGGTAGGCATCGGCAGCCTCGGGATCGCCAAGCGCGAAGACAACGACGAGCAGAAGCAGCGCGACGCCGAGAAAGCAAAGGACAACCGCGACGTCTCATTAGGCTGGGCCCTGATCGACATCAATACCACGAAGGAGTCGGCGGATAAGGCAGCTAGCCACTTGAGCAAGGAGGTCGAGCGCGAAGAAAAGTACTGGGGGGAGATCCTGGCGGTCCGCCAGGCTGGGTGGTCAATGTGCAGATTGCCGGCGGAGAAGCAAACGCTGGGCGTGAGGTTCGGATTCTCAGAAGCGTCACCCGAGTTCAGGAATAGCAGTCTCGCCCCTTTACGGCGTGATGATGACGGTTCGGCAATGCTTCAACACGGCAGGATCGGTGCTGGCTGCCAACGTCTCGGCGTCACAATCGGCAGATCAGGTAAGACAACAGGTCGTCTCGCCTTCGGCACATCCGTGCCAGATACTGCCCTGCTCCAAGACCGTGTTCTCGAAGCGCGCAACACCATCTTTGCCCAGGAGCTTTGGCACGAACTGCACCGTGAAGCGCACTCACTCGCTTCCTACGGTGTCCGCGCGAGCCATTCCGCCATCACATTCAATCCAGCCTCCGGCCCAAGCCTCACCCTCGAACTTGAGAACCTCGAAGACATCGCCAATAAGGCCGAGGACCACCCCGACAACACACTTGCAGAAGCGACGCACCTGAGCTTGCATATCTTTCTCAGTCACGCTCACAGACTTAATGAACTTCAACGCTTACGACCGACACCGCCTCACCAGCGGCGCAACCAGACGCAAAACCAATATCATCTTCTCCGCCCCATCGTGGCCAAGATACTTCATGACCGCGCGATAGAACAAGTCACACGGTTCTCCGGCGACCTCACCACTGTCTTCCGCCAGGCCGGCGTCAGCGCTGCCAACTTCATCCTCAACACCCCGCCTTACCCGACAGCAGATCTACGCAACAGCTCAGGCGGCTCCTCCGTTCGCCCCAGCGCGTCACAAGCCCTCGCCAACCAGATCACAACTGCCCCAGCCGATTTTCAACTCGAGCTCATCCTGAACGCCACGTGCCGTCTGCAGATCCGTGGCCGCACCTTCCTTACGCCCCTGACAACAACCCAATTCCAAGTCCAGCTGCTTCCAAACGCCGCCGAGCCGCCCGATCCGGAACCTGCGCCCAACACCCTCCAGGGTTCCTATCCGCCCTCCCGCGACCCCTACCCGAGCTTCTCCGCCCTGAAGGACTACCTCACCGACGCAGCCACCCACGCCCTGACAGACTGGTCCATGTCCCTCATCCCTCCTCCCCAAGCTCCGTCGCCCTCAGAACCCGCCCGCCCCGAGTGGACCAAATCCATCCGCGGCACCGCCATCAGGGACATCGACACCGAGAACCGCGAGGTCCGCTTCGACATCCTCGACGACGCCGACGAGAGACCGATCCTTAACGTCGGCGCGGCCTGGCGCACCGCGGACCAAAAGTCCAAAATACAGCGCTGGAAGTGGTCCCCCTACGGCCCCGCGGAGCCCATGCAGATCCCGCACATCGTCAACGCCGTCGTCCAGTCCAGCGACTTGGCCACTTCTGCGGCCTAGGCGGCCATGGCTACTTCACCAGAGGATTACTCACCTTCACCGGAGGACTACCGCTTACCCCCACTAGAGGACTGTTCTTCGGCCTCAGCAGGAGACTACTCTTCGACCTCAGCGGGGGACTGCTCGTCACCTTTGGTAGAGGATTACTCTTTACCCTCACTTGAGGGCTACCTGTGGGACTGCCTTTACACCTCTCAGGGGCTTTCTAGGATGCTAGCCAAAATCGACAACAACGACGACTGCCATAGCATCGACAACCTTCTGGATTAGCTCAAGGCATTGATAAAAGTTTGGGTTTTTTTCTGCCTCTGCCTCTCCGTTTTCCACAGCGGTGCTCTACTCCCACAGTCACTGTTGGGAGGATAGTTTCCAGAGACAAATAATGCGATAAAGCAGGCGTTACATGGACGGTTTGTATAACACCTGACACATCGTCAGAACATCTCTACATCGCGCTGCTAGATCCCGCAGTAGTAAAATAAAACAAAGTTACCTTCACCAAGAGTTCTCGATTCATGAGCACCCATGATTCGTATAAGTGCGTTTTGTGACTTTTGACGCCACTATCACTGGACCTATGCAGTGTGAAAGGTCTTTTAGCAATTGATCTCTATCGGATCTACCTGGTATCCCGCTGTGAAGCGTCTCCTGTATGACCATGTTCCTTCCCATACCTTCCTATGCCAGCCAAGCCCATGTAGTAATGCAAATGACGAAAAAAAGTCGTAAGAATCGTAAACCTCCCAGGTGACATTCCATGAACATGGCCTTTTCCTCCTCTGCCGGACTCCAGATACGGTACCAAGGGATAATAGACGGCGCTCATAGCGCAAACAGGATGAGCGGAAAGCGAATTTTGTCGGATACTGCGTGAACATGGTTCTTGCGTGTGGCATGGTGCACTGCGGGTGTTTGCTTAGAGGTTGAACAGGAAACGCAGTTCCGTCAAGCTCAGGCCGGCCAACTTGGCACCCTCGCGCTCATCTAAAGCAGCATCAACGGTCTCGCGCTTCTTCTCTTGAAGCTGCACAATACGGTCCTCGACCGTCTGCTGGGTCAGGATGCGGTAGACCTTGACTGGCTTCTGTTGACCAATACGATGTGCTCGGTCAATAGCCTGCATCTCAATGTAGGGGTTCCAGAATGGATCCATGATCACGACGTTGGAAGCGGCAACGAGGTTGAGACCAGCATTTCCAGCTCGCAGAGAGACCAGCATGACTTTGATTCTAGGGTCGGTCGTGAAATCGAAAGCGGCGTTGTCGCGCTGGGCCATGGTCATCTCGCCCGTGTAGCGGCAATGCTTAATGTTGAGGCCGTCCTTCTTCATGGCCACCTCGAGAAGATCCAGCAACATGGTCCATTGAGAGAACACAATGGTCTTCTCGCCAGTCTCCTGGATCCGGCGCAGAAGATCCATGCAAGCCCTTGCCTTGGCCGAGCTGAGCCAGTGGTGGCTGAGGTACTTGGTGTAATCTCGCCAGGCAGTAGCGTTCTTCTTGGCGTCTTTGCGGAGAGAGTGCAACATGGTACCCTTGATCTTCTTCAGTCTCTTCTTGTCCTCCTTACTAGGAGATGTAATCTTCTTCTTGCCCTTCTTCTCAGACGCCTTTCGCTTCGGCTCCGGAGTGGCATGTGGGCCGGCGGACGAGCTATCGTCATCATCATCACTAATCTTATCGTAGATGTCGTCGCCGACGACAAAGTCTTTGAGGTCGCCGTTCTTGTCAGCGTCCTCGGCGTCCTCGTCGTCTTCGTCTTCCTCATCGTCGCTCCAAACAGAGCCGTCAGACTCTTCACCCTCTTCTGAACTTCCGCTATTCTCGTCAGGCATGTGAACCTTCTTGAACGCCGAGAAGGTGATGATGTTTTGCGGATCGAGCGGGCCTCTGCAGACAGCGCACTTAACGTGCCCGTTTTCCTCACCGTTCCGAATGTTGTCGCGTCTGGCGTTGTCAACGTGCTGCTTCAGGCAGCCAGCGCAAAGCTCATGACCACACGGAAGGGGAATGGTAGGATCCGGCATTATGTCGTAGCAGATGGGGCACTCAAAGCCTTCGTCAATAGCGTCGGCGTTGGCGTTATCGAGAGCGCGAGACTTCTCAGTGAGTCGAAGAACGACTGCATGAGAAAGTTGCTTCACGCGCTCCAGCATCCCATCATCTACGTCAGGAACCGCCTCGTCCGAGTCAAGAAGAAGGTGAGGGTGGCAGCAAGTCTGGCGCAGACGAAGCAGTAGCACAAGAACGTGTGAGTAGTGCTTGCCAAGAGTACCCTTGCGAAGGTATTTGTTGATCTGCACTTGGGACTTGGTCTCCAGATCCGTGTAGTACTGACGCTCGTCTTCGTCCAACTCGGCGTACACAATCTCCTCTTTCTTCTCAGGCAGCTGCAAGATGGGCTTTCCGTCAATCTCGGAGGTCTTTGTGCGTCGCAAGAGTGTTGCCTTCAGGAGAACTTGGAGGTTGCGCATCGCCTGGGCCTTGGGGTCGCCTTTCTTGCCAAAGAGTACTCCAAAAGCCCTGCGGAACGCCGTCCACTCGCAGTACGGCTTGATCTTGAGGAAATTGTACAGTGAGTAGAGTTCGTCGACGCCATTCATCATCGGAGTTCCTGACAGGCACCAGCGGTACTTGCTTTGCAGCGCAGCAGCCGCGTTGGATGACTGCGCTTTGTGGTTCTTGATCATCTGACTCTCATCCAGAACCACACGGTAGAACATCGAATGATTGGGGTGGAAGAAGGAGACTGCGCTGGCGAGACTAGGATCCGTCTTTGTGTTGGCTTGGCGCCCGTTCAGATCCTTCCACCAGTTTGCCAGCTTCTTCTTGTCGGACACCAAAGTTCCGTAAGTAGTCAAGACGACATCGTACTTCATGAGCTCCGTTGCCTTCATCCTTTGCTGGTTGTGGAACACAAAAACCGAAAGGGCATCGTCCGACTTGATCTTCTTTTTGATCTCCTCTTCCCACTGCCGAATGAGAGAGAGTGGGGCCACGATGAGGGTCGTCTGTTGAAATCAGGTCAGCAGGGTGAAGAGTTCAGATCAAAAGACGAGCACATACTTTGGGGCCGGACTCTGCCTTATGAGATACCAGCAAGGACAGGACAGAGATCGTTTTTCCCAGGCCCATGTCGTCGGCAAGAATGCCTCCCTTATTGGTTCCGTTCTCCTGACGCTTCATCCAAGTGAGAGCAACTCTCTGGTGAGCGTAGAGAGGATATCTCATGGCATCCGGTGTTCCCTCGCGATCCTCCTCGGGGATGTCCATGCCTGCGTGCACGTTTTTCAAGAGCGCCTCGACTTCTTCTCGGGATCTACGAGGGTCGTCGTGGATATCCTGCATGATTGACGCAACACGAGCATCCAGGGGATTTCCCGACCCGTCAGTCAGATCCATGAAGTTGAAATTCCTAGTTCTACTGATGACTTCAGCGGTGCTGAGAGCGGGCTGGTAAGGGTGGCTTTGTCCGCGGAGGTACTGGCTGGCAGAAACGAAGGGACTTTCATAATCCTCCTCCTCGTCTGAGATGAAGGCTCCGGGCATGGAGGGCATGGAATCGAAGCCGGGGTTGGTTGTAGCGCTTGCTCGAGATGAAGACCCTGCAAAGTTTTTCATCTGATTGTAGGCTGGGCCCGCGTCAGGAAAGCCGTTCAAGTACTGGCTCGTAAACTGGTCAAAGCCGGACTGGAAGTCCAACTCGGGAGGGATGGGGCTTGATCCGAACGCCGAGCCACCAGACAACATATCTGCTGGGCCACTCTGCCAGCTGCTCGCCGCTGAGGGCCGTTGGTGTCTTTGCTGGTGGTATTGCTGTCTCGAGCGCGAGACGGATGCGTTGATCGAGTCATCGTCCCTGGCATTTGTTAGCCTTGTCTTCCTTCTTCACGGTCTGTATTCTCATCCTTGATGCTAGACTGAGATGGCTACTTACCCCGTAAGGTCGATGACGTCCGCCGACGCATCGTTAGTGCGCGGAGCCTTGTTGCGACCCTGACTAGAATAGTCGAAAGAGGTAGATCCGTGCGATCTCTTGTTGTTGGAGGGCGTAGATCGACCACCATCGTTGCCGAAAAACTGCGGGGTGAAGGAGCTGCCAGCAGGGGAAGGCTGTGCATAACCTGAGCTGCCCATGTCCCAAGGGGTCCTCGGAATGCTTTGAACCGTTGAGGAGCTGGCGGCATTCGGCGGCCTATACGGATATGTGGCTGCAGCAGGTCAGTCTGTGAAGTTCTTATATATCGCGAAAGAATAGAAGGTATAGGATACTGGAAAGAAAGGGATTGGCCATGAAGGAGGCCTGGCAAAAAGTGAAGTGATGATGGCTTCGGATGCGAAGCAGAGGTTTTCGAGCTAGCAAGAATGATGTGAAACAGGCCCTCTCCGAGACAGTTGCCTACATCGCGGCGGCAACCAGTGCGGTGATGACAGGTATGTCCGAGAGCAGATTGAGAAACAAGAGAAGAAACACATACCTCCCCAGCCGTTGATATCGATCGGAAACGTATCCATCTTGCCGTTCTTCTTGCTCGAAGGGTTGCGTGCGTTCTCGGCCGCTTTCTTGGCCGCCTGTAAAGACTTCTCCAAGCTTTGCTTCTGTCGCTTCTTATCCTCGACCTTTTTCTGCGAAGCTTCGACCTTCTTCCAAGCTTCCTGCTTCTCTGCGGGGCTCGTGTGGGCGTCGTCGGGACCGTCTTCGAGGGAGTGGGCGATGGCGAGTTCAAAGTCGTGTTCGTCTTGGGCTTCGAGAAGCTCTTCGGCAGCAGCGCGAAGAGCCTCGTCGGTGGCAGCGACGGGGCCGTCAGCCATTTTTGTCGTCCCGGTCGCGCAGAGGCGGACGCAGTGGTGTGCGGGCAGTGTCAAATGAGGCGACCTGCAGAAGGCAGCCAGGTGTAGGTGTACTCTGGGGTGGCGCGGTACTGCAACATCTGTTGGTCCAGAAATTGAGGTTGCGCTGCAGGCTGTGGGATTGTCTGCAATAGCCAAGTCTCCCAAGCGGTACCTTCAAAACCTAGACGGTGGCTTGCCGATGTGGAAGGGTAATAAATAGGCGCTGGCAGAAGAGGTGGACGGAAGAGAAAAAGGAGGGGCGGCCAACGGACGGAAATGGCGAGGAGAGATGACGGATGGAAAGAGCGACGAGAAGGAAGGTGCACAGGAGAAGACGGAGGGAGTTGTCGGATCGTGCCTGCCAGGCAACCCCAAACCGTCGTTGTCCTAAGCTGTGATGTGGGGGATGTTCTTTTGGTAAGTGCGACGACGAGGAAAAAAAGGCGAGGTTCTTTCTGCCTTCTCGACTTCGTGATCGCTGAAGATGCCCATGGAAGGACCCTGATCCTGGGCCGTTGGTAGGTACCTACCTCACCTTTCCTTAACTCACCGGGGGAGGTAGACAAGTGCGCTTGCCGCCTTATCTTATCAGTGGTGCCTTTTTTTAATTGATGTCATGTTGGAGGCAGGCGCGACGCGTTAATTGGGGGCGCGTGGTTTACTTTTGGTACTGTGGCAACCGCACCTCAGGCACTTTGGGGAGGTACCTGCTGTGCCCGGTGGACAGTGAAGGCGGCCCCACCTCCACCGGTCGCTGCCTGCGTTTGGAATGTACTTCGTCAATTTTGCAGGGATGGGACTCAGTTGAGGCAGGCTCGGTCGACACTGACCATCATGCACTGCAATGCCTCAATAGAGCCTCGCCTGGTAGGTACCTTACTTTCCGGCGTTTTGATAGTTCGTTCATCCGGCCTTCCATTCATCCATGCAGTATATGATGCAGCACCTGCCGTCCCGAACCTTCCATCCTAAAGCAGTCGTTCGGTGTCGCCAATGTGCTGCCGCACTGCGCCGTGGTCCCGCTTGTCCTTTCCTCAGCCAGGTGAGGTTAGGCACCTCCTCTTCAAATTTTGCCTTCAATGAGGCTGCGGTTCATCCCATTCGGTTTGACTGCTCTGAGAAGTACACTTTTCATGTGCATGCTACTGACAAGCCCGCTTCAGCCTCCTACCTTGGTTACGGCAAGGTATCAAGGTGGCCTTCATCATCATCATCATCGAAAAAAAGAGAATTGCGATGCTGCGCATCCCAAAGTTCCGTATTTCTCTCAAGGCATACCTTACATATGTCTCAACAACCCGGCTGCCCGCAGTCAGCCCCAAGCCGCAACCGAAAACTGCTGGTGCCACGACTCTTCCTAGTCTCACGGAAAGGGAAGAAAAAGTCGACCTGAGTGAGGCATGCGACGGCTTGGCCGCCGTGCCATTTCTGACTGGTCATAAATCTCTGCCGCTTTCCTTTCCCCTTACGTCGCCTCTTCTCGTCACTCGCCAGCCCAGAGCCTCATTCCCATTAGTTGGCATGCTGAGTCGGGCTTGGCCGGCCGACGGCGTGAGAGGCCGTTGGTCACCCAATCATTCGTGAAATCAACCCTGCCGAAAGTGATCTTGCATTTTGGCACGGGTCAGGTCGCTTCGGGCTGATTATTGGCTGCGTACTTTTTAGACTCAAGTAGGGGCAAGGATAAAATTGACTAGGAGCGATTGCCGACACCACCAGGGTCTTCCGGCCTAGAAAGTCTGTACGCTCCAAGTGTTGAAGTAGTGCTCCTTGCGGCAATGTATTCAGCCCAAACAGGTACAAGGTGTCATCAGTTGAGCATCAGCACATATGAAAGGGCTAGGAGCGACTGCCAGCATCACCAAGGGTTTCCATTTTGAAGGATGATGATCTTGCGACCATTTACCAGAGACATCAGATGAACATCACGGCGTAGAGTAGGTCCCATTTGTGAATGAAACGCAATGAAGACGTCGTCTTCCTCCTAGATGAGGCATCAAGAGGAACATCACCGCATAGCAAGATCACCAAGAGAACTTATATATGAATGAATGTTCTTAAAGACGTCGCCTATACGTGGCCTAGTCATGTACGATCTCCCCGTCTATCCACACTGTCCTTGCTTGCCATTACCCCCCTATCCAACCCCGTATTCACCACTTTCCGCGGTCTGCAACAACACCAGCCAGCCCCTTGATTGACGTCTCCCCAAGGATCTCGAAGACCGAGGCGTCGACTCCCCCGGCGTTGCGGAATATCTAATTCCTGATGCCAACGGCAACGAGGGAGTCGACGCCGTACGCGCTGGGCGCCTTCTCCGGATCAATCTCCTCCGGGAGGAGGCTCATGGCCTTCGCCAAGAGCTGGACCAGGCCAGCGGTGATGATGACCGCCGCCTCCTCCCGTCCGCCGCACTTGGCCAGCATTCTCTTCACGTCGTCCTCGCCAGGGCCCTGTCTGGCGTTGTCGTCCGGCGCGGTTACCGGAATGTCGACGGTGTTCATGTACGAGTACATGGCGGTGCGGGACCAGAAGGGGTCGCCGGGGTTGTTCTGGCGGATGAGGCCGCCGGTGCCGACGCCAGAGACGATCTGAGGGGGCGTGCGGACGCCGGGAACGACCTCGCCGGTGATGGCGCGGGAGACCATCTCGATGAAGTCGTCGTGGCGGATGCCGTAGAAGCCGGCGCCCCGGAGCTTTCCCAGGGTCTCCTCGTCCCCGACTAGCATCCCCGCCTCGAGGACGGGGCCAAGGTCGAGGGACGAGGCGCGGGAGACACTGTGGGCGAGAGCGTCCTGGACAGCGTTGGCGGCGGCGTAATTGGCTTGGCCGCGGTTTCCGATTATTCCAGAGGCGGAGGAGAGGAATAAGAACCAGGGGGCGGCGGCGGGAGAGAGCGAGGAGGGGTTGTCGTCACTGCCGAAGACGTCGACGAGGTTGGAAGCGCCAACGGCCTTGGGTCCAAAGGCAGTGGTCCAGTCGGCATGGGTCATCTTCTCAAAGAGAGCATCCTATGGCTGATGTTAGTGGATGAAGAACGACGGCGAGAGGGAACGACAACGAAAGGGGCTGACATACCTGAAGAACAGCAGCACACTGAACAACACCAGAAACCTTTCCAAGCTCAGGCACAAGGCGCTCCAGAGCATCCGTATCCATGATATCCACCGCAATAGAACGAGCATGAACACCCTTCAGGCTCTTCAGAAAAGCCTCAGCATCAGGTCCACCGCCGGAACGCGAAAGGAACACCAGCTTCTTCGCGCCGTTGTCTGCAAGAAGCTTGGCGATGCTGCGTCCAAGACCTCCAAGACCGCCTGCGAGGACGTAAGTGCCGTCGGGCTCGATGACCGAGGCAAGCGACTTGGTGTGCATCTCCTTGGCCACGGGGGCACAGGTCTCGGGCTTGGCTTCCATCACGGTCAGGCCGAGGTAGGGTTCCTTGTCCATGTGCTTGAAGGCGCTCTCGAAGTCGGACATGTCGAAGCGGCGGACGGGGTCGCACTGGAGGCTGAAGGTCTTTGGCATGCGCTTCGGCATGAGCTGGTCGACGTGCTGGAAGAGTTCCATGACGAGCTCGGGGTCTTCCTCGAGGAGTACACTCAGGTCGAGCTTGACGAACGTGGTAGTCGAGACAGGGGCTTGGATAGCTGATCCAGTCTTGTCCGCGAGCTGAATGATGCATCCCGCTGTAAACTTGTTAGCTTTGATAGAGATGAATGGATAATTGGAATTGACTTACATGCTTTGACACACTTTGCGTTCATCACGATGTGCTCTTGGGTGGGGTTGTAGACGACATCCACTTTGCCAGTGGCAAGAACATCAGCAACGAATGACTCTGAGCTAGCATCCAGGATGTGGTCGTCAGGCAGACCGTGGGAGTCTCGAAGGGTCTTTCGCTGATCACCCGAAGTATCATTGAGAACAGTGGTAAAGATCTCAGCTCCAATATGGCTCGCAATCCGAAGAGCGGCTTGGCCATACGCGCTAGCACCTGCGTGGATAAGAACCTTCTTCTTCGAAGACAGGCGGCCGATGGTGTGCAGAGCGTAGGAGGCAGCGATGAAGCCACTTGGAGTGAAATGACAACGCTCGATGGGGAGCGGTACAGACTTGACAAGCTTCTGATCAACGCGATGGACCGACTTGAAGGCACCGGGAACGATGGCCATGACCTGCTTGCCGCGGTGGTAGTCTTTCACGGCAGATCCAACTCTGGTAACAACACCCATCACATCAAGACCAAGCCTGACTTCGGTGGTGCGACCCATTGCAGTCTGAAGGTCGTTGCTGGACAAAGAGGCGCTCACGGTTCTAATCTCAACTTCGTGCTGGCCCAGGGGCGACGTGAAACGGTTCTCGACGAAGTGGAAGCTGTCGGCGGCGATACCGGGCTTCGAGATGACCATCTCGTAAGAAGTCTTGACAGCAGACGGATCAAAAACTTGCACGTTCTCCAGCTGGAAGCGCGACTCGCTCTCGATCAACTTATTCAGCGCATTCAGGGGCATCAGTCTCGGGATGTAAAGCTTGCCGTCTTCTTCGGCGAATTCAGCCTCTGGGCACTTCGTCAGGATCGACTCTGCAACGGTCCAGATAGTATGCGGCAGCGAAGCCGAGTCGATGGAGGTATCTGCGTCGAGATCAAGAGTGACAATAGTCTTCTGGGGGTCTTCAGACAGGATTGTTCGCGCAAGGGCAATGATGGGCGCGTTGCGAGGATCCGTAGGATGACGGTTCGCCGAACGAGTAACCCACAAGACACTCTTGGCGGTCTCTCGCAGCTTGTGGAAGTCGTTGAACTGCTCCTCGGTCCAGTTATACACAAAGTTGTCGCAGACCTCAACAAGAGAGATGCAGTTCTTGCCGTAAAAGGTTTCGACATTAGACACAGTGCTGATGATGACCTTGAAGCCTTTGTCGAGGAAGAGCTGGATAAGAGCGTTGACAAGACCTACAAGGTCTAGAACGACATC